TGATGACAGGGTTACACACTTTCTCCAGCTCTTTCTGCTGGTGTTGGTACTCCTCCTTATCAGCCAGCTGGTTGTTCTCCAGCCAGCCGATGATCTCGTCACACTTCTCAATCACCTTCTTCTGGTCCTCCTCACTAATTTTGCCCTTCAGGTTCTCGTCCTGCACGCTGCTCTTCATGTTGAAGGCGTAGGACTCCAGGGAGTTCTTGGCAGCGATCTTCTCCCTCTGAAGGTCGTCCTCGGCTTTGTATCTGTCGGCGTCCTGCACCATCCTCTCGATCTCTTCTTTGCTCAGACGGCCCTTATCGTTGGTGATGGTGATCTTGTTCTCTTTGCCGGTGCTTTTGTCCACCGCAGACACGTTCAAAATGCCGTTGGCGTCCACGTCGAAGGTGACCTCGATCTGCGGGACCCCTCGTGGAGCGGGCGGGATTCCCGTCAGCTCAAACTTGCCCAGCAGGTTGTTGTCCTTGGTCATGGCTCTTTCCCCTTCGTAGACCTGGATCAGGACCCCGGGCTGGTTGTCGGCGTAGGTGCTGAAGGTCTGGGTCTGTTTGGTGGGGATGGTGGTGTTGCGTTTGATCAGGGAGGTCATGACTCCTCCGGCGGTCTCGATACCCAGGGACAGAGGCGCTACGTCCAGCAGCAGCAGGTCCTGAACGTTGCCAGAGGTGTCGCCCGTGAGAATGGCGGCCTGGACGGCGGCACCGTAAGCCACCGCCTCATCTGGGTTGATGCTCTTGTTCAGCTCCCTGCCGTTGAAGAAATCCTGCAGCAGTTTCTGGATTTTGGGGATGCGGGTGGAGCCTCCCACCAGGACGATGTCGTGGATCTGCGCCTTGTCCATTTTGGCGTCCCTCAGGGCTTTCTCCACCGGCTCCAACGTTCCCCTGAACAGGTCGGAGCACAGCTCCTCAAAGCGAGCCCTGGTGATGGAGGTGTAGAAGTCGATGCCCTCAAACAGAGAATCAATCTCAATGCTGGCCTGGGAGCTGGAGGACAGGGTTCTCTTGGCCCTCTCACAAGCTGTGCGCAGCCTCCTCAAGGCTCTCTTGTTCTGGCTGATGTCCTTCTTGTGTTTCCTCTTGAATTCCTCCACAAAGTGGTTGACCATGCGGTTGTCAAAGTCTTCCCCGCCCAGGTGAGTGTCTCCGGCCGTGGCTTTGACCTCAAAGATACCGTCTTCGATGGTCAGGATGGACACGTCGAAGGTGCCTCCGCCCAGGTCAAAGATCAGGACGTTGCGTTCTCCGCTCTTGCCTTTGTCCAGACCGTACGCGATGGCGGCCGCCGTCGGCTCGTTGATGATCCTCAGGACGTTCAGTCCCGCGATGACGCCCGCGTCTTTCGTGGCCTGTCGCTGGGAGTCGTTGAAGTACGCCGGGACCGTGACGACCGCGTTGGACACCTGGTGGCCGAGGTAGGCTTCGGCGATCTCCTTCATCTTCAGGAGGACCATGGAGGAGATCTCCTCGGGGTAGAAGGTTTTGTCCTCCCCTTTGTATTCCACCTGGATTTTGGGCTTCCCTCCATCTCCAACCACCTTGAAGGGCCAGTGCTTCATGTCAGCCTGCACCACTGGATCATCCAACTTTCTTCCAATCAGTCTCTTGGCATCAAACACAGTGTTGCTGGGGTTCAGAGCCACCTGGTTCTTGGCCGCGTCCCCGATCAGCCTCTCGGTGTCGGTGAACGCCACATAGCTGGGGGTGGTCCTGTTGCCCTGGTCGTTGGCGATGATTTCTACTTTTCCGTGCTGGAAAACCCCCACACAGGAGTAGGTGGTGCCCAGGTCGATGCCGATCGCTACGCCTTTAGCTGCAGACATTTTCACTGGAGACGCTCGTCTGTCAAACAGTTAAACAACATTTTAGAAACAAGTTGGAGGAAGTAAACATCAGCACATTACTGCACATGTGCACTGACTCACAGCACATCATTAATACTGCCATTATACTGTTCTGCTCTTCATTAGCACACTTATTCATCCACTGCTCAACATTATCAACACTAATTATTACGATTCATTACACTTCTGTTATATAACAGTTACAACACATATTTTACATGTCTGATTTTCTATTTCTTTATACTTTGTTGTTATATTTTGTACTACAATGCACATATTTTAAAGTTCTTTATTATTATTTCTATTTCTTGTGATGTCTTGTCCCCAATAAAGGGATCAATAAAGTATTTCGGATGGTGATGTCACAGTCTACAGTCATATTTATCATCATTAGTTTAGTTCAATATTGTTCACTTTGGGTCAAATTGTGTAAAAATGCAGCAGAAAATGTTTTCTGAGCTTCTCGTGTTCAAGAAAACATTTAAAAACTAAACAGTTTGCTCCACTTACATCCCTTCAAAATAAAACGCAGATATGAATGGAGCAGATATGAAAGCATGAAGCTTTGAGAAATGAGTGTTGGACTTACAGTTGAGTGCTGAGTGGTCTGTGTTGTGAAGAGGATTGATCTTCTCCTTCCTCTCTGGATCTTCTGCTGCGGTCTGATCTGTTTCTGTTGCTGTCTCCGCTCTCCGACCAGCAGCTTTATATCTGTGGAAGCTGTCTGGCTGCTTCTAGACGTTTCACACACACACACACACACACACACACACACACACACACACACACACACACACACACACACCATCAAGTAGGAGTCTGTGGCAGAGACAGCTTCCTGTTGCACATTTCAAAATAAAAGCATCTTGCTTCATAACACTGATTAAATAAGAGGGTCACTTACACATTTTTGTCTTATTTTGAATGCAAGCTCATTCTAGTTCCGGAACATTGATTGTATCTTAGCAACGCTGACCAATCAGAGTGCAGCTTTAGTTTCCGGTGTGATTACGTAATAAAAGGAGTGTGAGAACTTTCTAGACAAATGGAGCAAAATCCAGAAACTTCAGCACTTTCAGCTCATAGTTTAATTTAATTGTTTTTATTCACTGGTTCCAACATTCAACAGAAAGAAAACAGAAAGATAAAAGAAACTTTTATTCAGGAATATTTATTCACTTTTGTAGAAGCTGTTTCATCATATTTGGACCTTTTAATTATGAGTCTGAGGCTGTTTGGATCGCTTTCTTTATTTTCCTTTTATTTTACATTTAATCCACAGTATAATTTTATGATCAGCTTTATCTGATCTTAGTGAGACCTCATTGTTTCACAAGTTTCTCAGAATAAATACACAAATTAAAATATATTTATTGAATGTCCTGCAACAGATACTCAAGCAATCGTTTTAAATGAATGAAAGTGATGTTTCAAATAAACAAGAACTTACATAAAAAGTTTGCTTATTTATACAATTTAAATTAAATCTACAGGCTACAGCTTTAAATAAATAAATTAATATTACTGTACTTGAGATGTAATCAGTATGTCCAGCTATCTTCTTAAAAAGTCCACTCTTGACCCAGGGGTTTTAGCCAACTATAGACCGATTTCTAACCTCCCCTTCCTCTCTAAGATTCTGGAGAAAGTAGTCACCAAAGAGTTGTGTGAATTTCTACATAACAATAGTTTATTTGAGGATTTTCAGTCAGGATTTAGAGTTCATCATAGCACAGAGACAGCTCTGGTTAAAGTTAATAATGACCTTCTGATTGCTTCTGACAATGGACTTGTCTCTGTACTTGTATTATTAGATCTTAGTGCTGCATTTGACACCGTTGACCATAATATTCTTTTACAGATTTGAGCATCTAATTGACATTAAAGGAACTCCACTAAGCTGGTTTAAGTCATATTTATCAGATTGTTCTCAGTTTGTACATGTTAACGATGAATCTTCAATAAATAATACAGTTAGTCTGTATTGACAACAAAGTCCTTCAGCGATGAGTATGATCCTGAGTGGATCCACAAACTCGAGCAGCACGTACGGGGGCAGAGACACGAGGCAGGTCACACTCTGGATCTGGTCCTCACCAGAAACGTTGAAATCTCTGATCTCGTTGTCTGGGACGACAGGATATCAAGGCCAGTTTCAAAAGAGGGGGAAAATAAGGGCGTTTTCACACCTATAGTTTGTTTGCTCTGGTCCGAATCAGGGACCAACTTGTTATTATGTTGCATATGGCTTCGAGTTTGGTTTGTGTTCACACGGCAGCATTTATAAGCGGACCAAAATGTGTGATGCGCGAGGAAACTGCTCTCTAATTGGTCAGAATTTCCATGCAGGAAAACTCCCAGAAGTAAACAAAGAAGAGCAGACTTGCTCTTGGCCCTGGTCATCGTGTATTACATAGTTTGCACTTATCACTGTAGGCAAACAGTACAGTTAGTAAATGAGGCAAGGCTAAGGCTGGAAAATAATGTCATGATGCACTGGAGTCGCCGACGACGCATATTAAGACAGTTCAGGTGGTGGCATGCATTAATCCTCCTGAACTGTGACATGCTCATCAGCCGAAAATGTTTCCATCAGGTAACGTTACTTCCTGCAGTTGGGTCGGATCGAGGTTGGATCATGTTTGCACCACAAATGAAGGGTACCAGAGTTGATTTGGAACCGGAGTTGATTTGGAACCGGACTGAGACCACCTCCTCAACACGGTCTCGGTCCGGTTGTTTTGGTCCGCACCTGAGTGCAACTGATGTGTTCACACCTTCCCAAACAAACTGCACCAAGGGGGTAAATGCTCCAGGGTTCGATTCAACCGAACTAAACAAGGCAGGTGTGAAAACGCCCTAAGAAAGAAAAGGATCAAGATGAACAGGCAAAACAATTCAAAAAGTAGGAAGAATAGAAAATCTGGTTTAGAAAGACATAGAATATGTCTGTCATTGACTGCAGTTTGTTTAAAAGGTTAAATTCAACTTGTCTCCGTCATGAAGAAGCACAACGCTGGTGAGGGTGTCACAGTTTGACTTCCTCATCACCTGTTCACTTCCCAACTGCCATCTCAATTCTTTTCCACTAACCTGTCCCTGCTCCACTCCGCCAGCCAGCCACACCTCCTCATCAGCCACTCTGCTCACCTGTGCACATAAACTGCTCCTGACCACCAATCAAACCGGTTCATATACTGCTCTTCACCAGTCTCTTGTTGCCAGGTTGTCATGCAAGACCATTGTTCGGATGGATTTCCCGGTTTTGACCCCGCCTATTTCTGACCATCCCATCTTGTCTCTTCCCCGGATATCACCTCAGCCTTCTGTCCCCGATCACGAGGTTGGTTTCTCCATACCTGGTTTCCGTCTGCCTCTCTCCCGGGCTGTTGTAAAGACTCTGCCTGCTCTGTTTGTTCCACGAGCTGAAAATAAAGGTCATTATCAATTGACTACTTGCCTAAGTGTGCTGCATTTGGGTCCTAAACTGACCTGTTACAGAGGGAGATGTTTGCTGATATTTAGGACGTTTTGACGTGCAACGGTAAGTGTACTGTGTCATTTCTGGTTTACTTCCTGCTCCTGTGTACAGTGTTTTACTCGTTACAGCGTTTTTTTTATCAGCTTAATATTTAAATGTAGATTAGTTCTACCTAAGCCCTCAGAGCCACTTCCCTCTTTTAGCAAGTTTTTGCTAAAAAAAGTTTTCTCTGCTTCATTAGCATTTGCAGTTAGTGATGGCTTCTCCCTCCTTCTCTGCTGCTCTGTCCTATTCAGTGTGTCAGATGTTTAGGTATTCCTCTGCCTCCTTTAGTGATAATGGAACCTGGATTAAGTGTAGATTACTTACTGCACTAGAGACGAGGCTCAGCGAACAAGAGGCATGGCACCGCACCACAGAGATATCTTTAGGAGAAATCGTCGAGGAGAGATGGCATCCATCCCACTTTGGACGGAGCAGCTCTCTTATCTAGAAATATGACCAAGTTTATTTCTAAAACCTGACAGTCCAGAGTTGGGACCAGGAAGCAGAGCTGCTGATCTAAGACCAGGACACACCAACCCGACGGCCGACCGTCGGCAGAAAAGCAGTTGGACTGATCAGTCGGCTCCTGTCTCTCGAGTCGGTCAAAAGGTGCCTCTGAACACACCAAACCGACGCCGACTGGGGTGTACGTTCTGCGCGTGCGCGAGGTGTAATACGTCCCCATAGCAGCAGGCGGCGCTAATCTGTGTTGTCGCCCAAAAAAAATTAAAACTGGAAATGACGGATTACTCTAGACCTAGTAAACACAGAGCACGCTGTCGTCAGTCATTGTTTTCATCAGAGAGTGTTGATAGTAGACAAGAAGGATCGTTATTGTCATTACTCGCTGAACGGAAAATATGATGGCTAATAATAACAAGATACTTCCGGTTTTCCTGTGCACTCACTGATTCGCTAGTCAAGGGCTAACACTCCACCAATCAGATTGGTCATTCAGGCCGACAGCCACTGGCCGATTCTACATTCTCAACTCGAGTCACCAACCTCACCTGACTGTCCGACGACGTCCGACGGCTGATAATCGGATTGGTGTGTCCTAGCCTTTACACACTTCTCTGTGCTTCCACTAGAACAGTCAGGGTCAGCCCTATGTTCCCACAGCCTATTGTTCCCACATTTCTAGGACATTTTCAAGATTAGGTCTTGTATTCTTACATTGGGTTAGGGTTAGGGCTAACCCGTGAAACGTGTTTTTTGCTGCTACACTATATGTCAAGTAGGTGGTGATTAATGGGATCATTTTTCTCCTGTCCTCTGGTCTCGTGGTCAGGAAGTCCTTCCCAAGATGAATAGGCAAAACAATTCAAAAAGTAGGAAGAATAGAAAATCTGGTTTAGAAAGACATAGAATATGTCTGTCATTGACTGCAGTTTGTTTAAAAGGTTAAATTCAACTTGTCTCCGTCATCAAGAAGCACAACGCTGGTGAGGGTGTCACAGTTTGACTTCCTCATCACCTGTTCACTTCCCAACTGCCATCTCAATTATTTTCCATTGTCCTTCCTGATTTGTTTGAGGAAGGACCTGGTGTATCACCTGGTAGCCAGGCTGACAGAGAGTCACAGCTCTATTGAGCCACATATCCCCATAACGTTAACTAGCAATGAGTTTATTAGCTTCTTTTATAATAAAATTATTACTATAAGAGACAAAATGAATAACCAAATGCCCTCAACAGGTATCACTGTCTCTCCAAGTTCAGGAACTTTAATTAATGTAAACTCAGAAATATATTGAGACTGTTTTTCTGCTATCGACCTTCATCAACTAACTTCAATAATTTGAAGCCATCAACCTGTCTATTAGACCCGATCCCAACTAGGCTGCTTAAAGAAGTTGTACCCTTAATCGGCACTTCTTTATTAGATATGATTAATCTTTCTTTATTATCAGGATGTGTACCACAGTCCTTTAAAGTAGCTGTAATTAAACCCCCTTTTAAAAAGCCCACTCTTGACCCAGGGGTTTTAGCCAACTATAGACAGATTTCTAACCTTCCCTTCCTCTCTCTGAGGGCCTGTCTTCACAAATACGTGGCTTTACCCAATACGATGTCGTCTCTCCATAAACACAGCGTCGTTGCCAGAAATATCTGCGTCCGCACAGATTCACTGAAACGACTCATAACGCTGTAGTATATATGCAAGGCCTGTATGTGGCGCTGTGACGCCACCACACCAATACACTAAAACCAGAAGAGAAGCCATGGAGCATGCGTAAAAAGGTCCCGCGCTGTTTACAAACAAGCTGTTGCTCCTTGCAGTAATATAGAAACCGGAGGTTTTGCTGTAGCAGCCGTAATAGACTGAGTAGTTGCTCTAATACGAGCACAAGCCTGTAGTCCGCCATTATTGTTGTTGACGGGTCTAGCGGTGGCGGCTGAGGTTAAAGGCTAGAGAGGCGGGGCTAATACGTAATGTTTCGGGGGAAATCTTTTTTCGCCGTCCAGACAAGTCCTTTTCTGATTTCCCCACTCTGGGACCTAGTTTAAAAAAATACCGTTTTCACACAACGAAAATACCGTATGCATCTGGACGCGAGGCCTAAACCATAACGTATTTATCCGGATTCAAGAAAAAACTTATTCGTGAGGACAGGCCCTAAGATTCTGGAGAAAGTAGTCGCCAAACAGTTGTGTAACTTTCTTTTCTTTTCTATTTTCAGTCAGGATTTAGAGTTCATCACAGCACAGAGACAGCTCTGGTTAAAGTTAATAATGACCTTTTGATTGCTTCAGACAATGGACTTGTCTCTGTACTTGTATTATTAGATCTTAGTGCTGCATTTGACACCATTGACCATGATATTCTTTTACAGAGACTTGAGCATCAAATTGGCATTAAAGGAACCGCACTAAGCTGGTTTAAGTCATATTTATCAGATCGTTCTCAGTTTGTACATGTTAACGATGAATCTTCAATAAATACTACAGTAAGTCATGGAGTTCCACAAGGTTCTGTACTTGGACCAATACTATTTACTTTATATATGCTCCCTTTAGGCAACATTATTAAGAATCACTCCATTAACTTTCATTGCTATGCAGATGATACACAGTTATATCTATCGATTAAGCCTGATGAAATTAATCAATTATCTAAATTACAGGACACAAAATCCGGGATGAGCTGCAATTTTCTGTTAAATTCTGAAAAAAAAATTCTTGTTCTTGGCCCCAAAAACCTTAGAGACTCACTGCCTAAAGATATAGTTACTCTAGATGGCATTAACTTGGCCTCTAGCACCACTGTCAGGAATCTTGGAGTTATCTTTGATCAGGATTTGTCATTTAACTCACACATAAAGCAGACCTCTAGGACTGTCTTCTTTCATTTACGTAATATTACAAAAATCAGACACATCCTATCACAGACAGATGCAGAAAAACGAATCCATGCATTTGTTACTTCAAGGCTGGATTACTGCAATTCTTTATTATCAGGTTGCCCCAATAAGTCCATTAAAATGCTCCAATTAATTCAGAACGCTGCAGCACGAGTACTGACAGGAACTAGAAAAAGAGATCACATCTCTCCTGTACTAGCTACTCTGCATTGGCTCCCTGTAAAATGTAGAATAGAATTTAAAATCCTCCTCCTCACCTATAAAGCTCTTCATGGTCAGGCCCCTTCATATCTTAAAGAGCTCATAGTACCCTATTACCCCTCTAGAACACTACGTTCTCTGAATGCTGGGCTACTTGTGGTTCCTATAGTCTCTAAAAGTAGAACAGGAGCCAGAGCCTTCAGTTACCAAGCTCCTCTCCTGTGGAACCAGCTTCCAGTTGTGGTTCTGGAGGCAGACACCCTCACCACATTCAAGAGTAGGCTTAAGACATTCCTCTTTGATAAAGCTTATAGTTAGGGCTGGATCAGGTGAGTCCTGAACCATCCCTTAGTTATGCTGCTATAGGCCTAGACTATCAGGGGGATTTCCCATGATGCACTGAGGTCCTCTCTTCCTCTCTCTTTCTGCACTCATTCATGTCCCATTAATGCATGTTACTAACTTCACTTCTTCCCCGGAGTTCTTGTGCTTTCTTGTCTCGCAGATTCTCATGGATCCTGGTGGAGCCTCCTGCCATGGTCCTGCTGGACTGCCATTGCTAATATCTGATACGGATATATTTGTTATTATGATTATTACTATTGTCACTCCTCATTGTCCCCCCCGTTGCTGTTGTTGTCGTCATCATCTTCTTCATGTTCATCATCATCAGTCACTACTATTAGTGTAGTTGTTGCTACTGTTGTTGCTGTGCACCTTTGTCTCTCTCTCTCTCTCTCTTTCTCTCTCTCTCTCTCTCTCTCTCTCCCACCCACCCAGAGCCGAAGGATCTGTCCTAGGTTTCTGCCTTTTGACAGGCAGTTTTTCCTTGCCACCGTCGCCAAGTGCTTGCTCATGGTGGTACTGTTGGGTCTCTGTAAATAATGTTTTAAGGAGTTCGGTCTTGACCTGCTCTATTTGAAAAATTAACTTTTGTTATGAATTGGCGCTATACAAATAACATTGAATTGAATTGAACTCCTTTCTATCTCACGTTACAGAACTGTAACTGAACCTTGACTTTAGAAATTAGAACATCATCTTATTTTAAAATGATGCGTGGCTATGAGGAGAGCCATCAGGCCCCAATATCACCTGGAGTGGGGGCCAGAGATGTTACTAAATAATAAATCAGAATCAGAATCGGGTTTATTGCCAAGTAAGTTTTTACACATACAAGGAATTTGTCTTGGTGCATAAAAATTGCACAAAATAAAGTTATTTTTAAAATATAAATAAATAAAGATAAGGATAAAGATAGAAAGATCCAAATTGTACTGGGAATATATTTACAATGTGTAATGAATATATACAGGGTGGGTTTAGGAGTCAGTGTCAGGGCCTTTTTAATGAGACCAGCTGCAGATGGAGTGAAACTGTTTTTGTGGCGTGAGATTTGGGACTTGGTGGACCGCAGTCTCCTGCCAGACCACACCCATTCAAATAACATGCAAAAGAGCTCTACCCCTGTACACGCAGGTAAAAGAAATTGTGCTGCCCGCGGACAGAGGAACAAACCACAAAAATACTTTACTTTATTGGCAAACTTTATTAAACCTGATTCTTATTAAAAAAATCTTAAAGTAAAACACCTTCTGTGTATTTAACCCACCGGAGAAGTGTACGGATTGTGACTCTCCTCTTTTGGTTGTGACAATCTTTGTTCTGTTTAACATATATTGAGAAAGGAAGACTCGTATGTATCGTTTCCTGTCTGCTTGTGGATTTTTTTTCTGTTAACAGACTCTTGAGACGACATTCATTTACTTTCTCTTTCCTTTAAAAAACTCCATCTCTTTATCAATGTGTTTAAATCTCAATAAACTGATCACAAAAACATATTGATGATATCTTTAGTATAATGACACAGCTCTTTTCTGTAGCTCTTAGTCCAGATCTGACCTGGATTTTACAGGGCACTGAATAATACTCACAATATGATCATCATCATGTTTTCCTATAATTTGTATGTTTGGTCTCACACCTCGGTACATGTGGTCTGCACTGATATCAGCATAAAGACATCTGAGTAGATTTTTATTGTTTGGACATCATGTAAATGTGAGTATAATCAGTTGTACAGTGGTTGAAGCTGTGCCAGCAGGGCGATAATCTAAGTATGTCTTGGGATTGTTGCAGCTTAAAATTTCCTCACAGCAGTTTTCATTTACATTTTTTTGCAATGAAATCTAAGAGAAAATTGTAAAAAGCGACATGATTTTTGTTGTGTTTAATGGTCTTCATCAGCAGATAGTTTACTCAGGTGTCAGGGAGATGATTTTAATTGCACCAAACAATTCAAAGTGTCCTCTGACTGACTTCTTTCAGACTTCATCTCAGTTTTCTGGTCTCTGGTTGGAGAATCAAGGATCAGAGACCTCCATCATGGCCACTGCTGACCAGCTGCTGGACCAGATATTCTCCTGGTACGAGCAGATGGAGCGCCGTGTAGAGAAGCTGACGAGTTTGTTAGATTGTTTTTCCAGTGACACCATGAAAGAGACGCAGGACATAAAAGAGGAGTGCCACAAAATAGAAAAAGAAATCCAGAAACTGTTTGAGCAACTGAAGACGGAGAGTTCCTCCACAGACCCGGATAAAGTGGACCAGCACGCTATAGCTGAGGTTCTGAGAGCCATGGCCAGGCGAAGGAAAGTGGAGGAGCAAATCATCATCCACATGCTCAACCGTGTCCCCCCGTCTAAAACTGGACTCCTTAAAAGAGGAGACAAGGTAAGATTCAGTAACTATACACACGTTGTCTGATAATTACACAGAACATTATATACAATTATTAATATTTTTTGTGATTTTGATAATTGTTTTCCTTTGAGGCTAATAATCATGAAAATGAATCATGTATTGATCATATTCATCATCAGGTTGTGGGAGGAGCTGTTGGACTGGCATGTGAACTTCCTGAGGCGAACGACTATTGGACAGACCTGATCGAGAGGAATCATGTGACTGAAGCAATTCTAGAGACCTCCCGGACGCTGAGGATAAGGTTTGACCACATCAGGTATGAAGTTTTCTTGGATTCTCATAAAAGATACAGAGCACAGCACATTCATTTAAATATAAAAGATTATTATTTTTTTTTAATTTCTCTTTATTTGAAAAAGCAAAACATTACAAGTACAGTTGCAAACAATTTACTACAACATTACGTCTATTGCTTTTCCCGTTTTCCATTTTTAAGTAGTGTTAGCAATCAACAGAACAGAGTTGAACTGGGGAGCTTACTGACTGATTATCTTAATGACACACACATTATATACATAAAAAGGTGATAGCTGCGGATGAATTGAATTGAATTGATGAATGACACTTTTGTGAATAGGCTTACACTATAAAAAGAAGGAACATAAATTAAGTCCAGATCTGATAAAACTTTTCTGTTTGTACTTTAAGAGAAAATGACAGTTTTTCCATAATGTATATCTCGTACAAAATATTAATCCATTCCTCAATGGTGGGTGTTCTCCCTTTAACCATTTTTTTATTATTGTTTTTTTCCTTGCTGTCAGTATACAAAGTAATTTTTTGTTAGTTTTCCAATTGTCAAAATTCATATCAGCCAGATATACCGTTTCACACTTGAAAGGGACCTTGGTGCCAAATATATTGTTTATATGTAACCCTAACCCTAATTCCCACAGTCCAGTCTGTCCTTTCCCTCCTGTGGAATAATAGAGATTATTGCTTCTCTCCATGATGGGGGGATTGTTTTATTTCTAAGCACCCAGTTAAATGTTGTCAGTAGTGTCGGAACTAATTGGTCTTTCATTCTGTTCCCGGGGTTTTTCTCCCTGTAGTTTTCCTATTGCTGATTGTAGTTCTTTTGTTATTTTGGCAGTTAATTCATCATTTTGTTCCTCTGTGACCTTTGGTAAATGGATTAATGATAGGAAAGTATCTATTTGTTGATCGTTGTTCGTTTGAGTTTGAGAATATAATGTTTGTAATAGTTTTCAAAGGATTTTTAGATTTTTTCTTAGTCAGTTTCTATGACATTTGTTGTAGGGTTTCTTATTTTATGTATTGTTCTGTCTGCTTACTGTTTTCGTAGCTTAAATGATAGGAGTTTCAGTGATTTCCCCCCGCCTCATAATATTGTTGCTTCGTAAATAGAAGCTTTTTTTGTATCTCAAGTGTATTGATTACATCTATTTCTTTTTTTAAATTAAAGATCTTAAGTTTAGTGCTATCTTACGACTGCTAGTCTAGCTCTGGCTAACCTTACACTAACAATCAGTGCGCATGACCTGATCCACACCCACTCTGACTGTCGGTTGGGGTAAGAATCAGACGTCAGGTGTCATAGAAATCTAATTTCAGTGTAAAATTTGTTTTTTGGCCACCCTTGATCTTTGGGTATTGATGCTGTATTTTCACTTGTATTATTCACAGGAAGATAATTGAATCTCAAACAGATCAAAGACACGAGGATGAACAAGAAGGTGGAACAGGAAATGATCAGCAGGGAGGGGGTGATCAGGGAGATAAGGAGACCGATAGTGACTATAAAGACCAAAGATCTTCTGGAACAATTAAAGTTGGGTTACTTAATGTTTGTTCAATGAATAAGAAACAATCCAGGATCTTAGAGCTCATAACGCAAAACAACCTGGACGTCTTCCTCACAACAGAAACATGGTTACAAGACAATAATGCAGACAAAGTCCTCAGTGAGGCTTCGCCACCAAATTACCTTTACTTTTATCAGGTGAGGGTTAATATGATACGTGGAGGGGTAGCGATTCAGTTCTCACAGGAGCTGCACGGTGAAAGGATTCCTTTTGAGTCCTTAACAGCCTTTGAATGTGTTGTCACAGTTCTGCATCATGATGAGTGGAAACAACTGGTTCCATTCATCAATGTTTATTTGCGACCGGGGTACGACAAGCCCAAATTTAAAACCTTCCTGGATGAGTTTCAAGATCTCTTGGCACATTTCAACAACTACAACAGCATCGTTGTAACTGGAGATTTCAATATCTGGGTCGATCAGGAAAAGAGGTCCTATACCGATGAGTTTGATCATATTTTGCCGATCTACAACCTCGAGCAGCACGTACAGGAGCCAACACACAATCAAGGTCACACTCTGGATCTGGTCATCACCAAAAACGTTGAAATCTCTGATCTCATTGTCAGGAACGACGGAATATCAGATCATTACACCGTATATTTCAATGCAAGGCCAGAGGGAGGAAACTAAGAAAGAAAAGGATCAAGATGAACAGGCAAAACAATTCAAAAAGGGGGAAGAACAGAATTACATTAACTGCAGTTTGTTTAAAAAATTTAAATTAAACTTGACTCCGTCATCAAGAAGCACAACGCTGGTGATTTTATTTTCAAAGATTTATTGAAATAAGTCGGGGAAAAGAGAAAGTAAGTCTGAAGTAGGTGAGGGTGTCACAGTCTGTCTTCCTCATCACCTGTTCACCTCCCAACTGCCATCTCAGTTCCTTTCTACTCTGCCAGTCAGCCACGCCTCCTCATCAGCCAATCTGCTCACCTGTACACACAAGCTCAACTGACTACCTGCCTAAGTGTGCTGCAATTGGGTCCTAAACCGACCGGTTACAGACAGAGGTGTTTGCTGATGGTTAATGGACCAAACTTGTATCGTGCCTTTCTCCTCTTCATCGTCACACACCGATGCACAGCAAGTTAGGGTTCAGTATCTTGCTCAAGGATACTTCGACGTGCAGCGCTCTGCCTCTGAGCCACAGCCACCTGCTACATTAACGGATAATGGAGTCCAAGCTCTGTCTGCATCAACTATCAGTACTTTTTGTCACGTGCGCAGACTTCACCAGTGTGTTTGTTAAACTGACAACCCTCTGAAGCTTCATTCAGACATGAGTGTTTGAGAATATCTGACAATAGTGTGTAATGATAGTAAATGAACTGTATTGAACATGGTAATGGTAATATAATCCACAGAGTTATACAGTAATTAATAGAATCACAAATTCAATCAGCTGCTCCACTCCTTTATTTCCTTTATCACAGCTCTTTAGACAAACTAACAATAATAATATAAAGTCATATAATGTATAATGTACTGCATTATAAGGTCATTGTCATGGGGATGCCCCGTGTCTTGTAACTTAAATGAGACACAATATAGAGTGCTTGTCCAGCTCAGCCACTAACATAGAATCTAGCCGGCCGGTGTCTGGGGTTCAGTAATTAGTACAGATGTTGGGTTGAAATATGGTAAAGGGAAATTGTATTATGTTTGAGTTACGTTAGATCTGGAAGGAAGCCTAAGAAAATATTTGGGTTTTAATGTTTTCCATTTGATTATTTAGTGTGTTTCTCACCTCTACTCTAGATTGCACTCTTCTGCCATCTTCTATTATTATGGTCGGTTCCGGGGGGAATAGATGTAGCATAGATGAGGGGGAGGTTTAGGAGGTGTTTAGGAGATTTGTTGTTTTGAATAGTTGGGATCTATTTTACTCTTTTGATAGTGTAGTGAGTTCTTTCTACTGTTGACCTATAAAACTTAACTATTGGGTATTTAGATAAATGAAATGCTAAAGGTTAATTGTTTTCTTAATTGTTGCAGTTCTCTTGTTGCTCTTAATAGTTGTTTCCTTCGGTTTGGACCGAGCTGATCCTCACTGTAAATAAGCTGCACTGATCCATTGCTTTGGGGAAAAAAGGGAAATAAAGAAACTTGGACTAACTGAACAGTTTCAAGGTCCCTTCCTTCCTGCCCTCACCGCTCGAGCAATCTTACAGTCATGTACTGACTATATTAATATAATCATCAAACAAACTGCTCAGACAATAAAATTGAATAATTAAAAAATGAAACCAGATTGTGGTCATGCATGTCTTCATGGTGGTAATTAAGATGTTTAAGAAAAAAGGTCTTTAGACGGGTTTTAAAGACATCAATGGAGGAGGAAGATAACATTGCAAACTATGGAACGGCCCTCACAATCCTTTAAACTTTATCATTTAAAAATCTGATGGTAGATCTTAAAAGATTTTCAATTAATGTGAAAAAATCCCAAATATAAGAAGTGACGACTTTTAGCTGCTAGTAAAATGTATTATATGTTCCATATCCAGAGAGGTTGTTTACATCTTTTCAATTAAAATAATTACCTAAATCAGTTATTTATCAAGGAGTGCCCAAACCTTTGCATACAGCTGTAGGTCCCTAGTTCTTCCTTTGTAATAACACCTGCAGTCCATTTCCTCTGTAGATCTTACTTTATTCATTTTTAACTAAACAAAAATGATTCTCCTTTCACACGTACAGCTCGCTCCAATGGACAGCTATTCAAAAGCTGTTTGCTTGTACATACGAGGGGTTTGGCCGTATAGTTGTCAGTTATCATCATCCCATACGCCGCCACCCACTGGCCAGTGTTACCGACACCAGACCTAGGGGGAATCTGGACCAGCAGCAAGGGTTACACAGGCTAGGGAGCACTGTGTGGCCAATATATAAACTGTGGATTGATAGAGAGATGATGAAAGTTATCTTGATCATGTCAGAGCTTGTTTATTTCTGAGCTGTACATGTGCAGAGCTTGTAGCTACAGTCTCTCTAATGGATCCACAGCAGCACTAGAGCACCACCTGCTGGAGTAATAGTGTACGACCTCGATGTAAAGACTGAAGTGTTAGAATGAATCAATTATTACAAATTGACTTCATGCATCACTGGATATATTTAAACTAAAATGTCTGCTGTTCTATATGAAAAGGTTTCATCTGCAGTGTTTTTTATGGCAGTAATTTGATTTATGTTGGAGGTAACCTGCAGTTTTTGTAACAAAAACAATATTTAGTTCAGATAATGTGAGTAACAGTTAGTGTATTTATATTTTATATAAATATATAGCTATATATATTTGAGGCTTTCGGAATGAAATTCGAACTTTATAGTAATAATGAATATATGAAAGAGTTAAATGGCTGATTCTGTCTGGTTTTATGTTGATTCACTGTCCCTTATCGACCTACAGTGTCGCTTTCATTCACTTTAATTGCTTTTGCTATTTCCTAATGTAATTAATATGTACAAACCTTTCTGATTAGGAACGTCCCATAATTAAATAATATTTTATCGAGCTAAAACTGAAGCAGATTTGTGAAAGTAAAGATTGAAAATGAAGAAATTATTGAATTAATTTAACTATGTAACTTATTTTGAAGGCAAGCTGATTCTAGTTCCGGAACATTGATTGTATCTTAGCAACGCTGACCAATCAGAGTGCAGCTTTAGTTTCCGGTGTGATTACGTAATAAATTTGCCAAAAATTGCCGATTTCTGCACAAAATATGCGGGGCTTGCATGATTTCATAATCCCCGCATTTTCGTTGCAAAAAAGTCACATATATCTTAGCAGAGCAGAAAGTTGAAAAATGTTGCATTTACTTCACACAAGAGCAGCCATTTTCCCCTGTTGCCATGGGAACGTTATGAAGTGACGTAATTACGCGACGTGAACATCAACGAAAAGCTGCAAACCCTGCGATGGATCGACGATGAGGGAGAGGGGATGGAGGATGAGGATGGCGAATGATTGGCCAGTGTTAGAGGCTACGCAGTTATAGCTTTCATTTTCACAGTGGACTGTTGTAGTTTCATTCAGGAGTTACAACTTTACAGTTGTGAGATTGCACTTTTTGTTACCAGTGGGTTAAATCATACTCGTTTCAAAAACCTTACAGTTATTTTAACAGAAGTTGTCTGTTTTGTATAGCTACCTCTGTAAAACAGGAAGCACACTTTTTATTTTTTTTATATTTTATTTATTCATTTTTACAGAAGTTGTAGCATATTCCTTTTGTAAAGCTACAGAACTTGTTTGTCTCATCAATGTTTTGTAAGTTTGAGCCATAATATTAAATATTCCCAGCACTTTCGGTGATGTAGTATGCTTGCTTATCATTGGAAGTAATAAGAAATGACTCTTTACATTAAGGTAGTAGCCTAGTGAGAACAGGACGTTGGGGGAATCACTTTTTTTCTCTTTTTCATCAATAGCAGTTTTTGCAAGTTGCCACAATTTCATCGCATAAAATTGCATAAATATCCCGCATATTCCATCGCATTGTTTAAGAAAAAATGCTGCATAATTTTTTCGCCTGCAACAATCACAAAAAACTATGCAAACTATGCAAATCCAGCTGTGTGATCCCCTGTTGAGGATTGGTCTTTCTGGAGCTGAGACCGCCTACTTCCTGGTTGCTGTTCGCTGGCATCTGTGATTGGTGTGGCTGTGATTCGACCGAACCTACCAACCGGGAGTCTTCAATCAACTCCAGCTGCATTTTAAATAGTTTGTGTGCCCACAGTTCAGGGTGGCTGTGAACCAGTGATCACTTTGCCTCGCTGTTGGTTGTATACCATTATGTTAGCCTAGAAAGAATTAAGAGTGTTTACATTCTTTAGTATTGCCTGGCTGTTGTCTGTCTGAGTGGTTTCAGTCAGTGCTTTTGAAATCTTTGTAATTTATTTAGTTTGATTCAGAGTATCAAGAGTTGGACACTCTTTTGTTTGAGACCTCTAAGTTGCAGAATAACTGCTAGTTTGTTTTTGTCCATTGTATTTTGTGAGCTTATGTGTGCTGACCTCTTTTTGTTCTTTAGTGTATTTTTGAGCCAAGAGCTATGTAACTGTCATTTATTCAGCTTAATTTTGTATATTGGTTATTTATCAGCATAGCCTCTTAGCCTCTTTCTGTTATATTGTGATCAATATGTCTAGCTATCAACATTTTAAATTCAATATTAAATTAATAGTCAATGTGAGTCCACTGCTTTATATCTCACAGTACAGAGCTGTAACTGAACCTTGACTTTAGAAACTAGATGATCATCTTATTTTAAAATGATGTGTGTCTATGAGGAGAGCCATCAGGCCCCGATATCACCTGGAGTGGGCCCAGAGACGTTACTAAATAATAAATAGTTGTAGCCTTGGATGACGCAGACATACTGAAGCCTAAAACATGTTGGGTACACATTTCTGGATTTTCTCACAGATGCACACCTACTCGTGGATTGTAACTATTGGATTATTGCCTACCGAGATCAAAGGCCACACCCATTCATGTTACATAAATAAGTATCGCCCTGTACACGCAGGTAAAAGGAATTCTGCTGTCGACTGACAGAAGAACAAACGATAAAAAACTTTAGATAGATACTTTATTAATCCCGAGGGAAATTCAAGAATAAAGTAAAGAGACTTTACTTTATTCACAAACTTTATTCAACTTTATTCCAACTGAACATTCAGGAAGAGGTACATCTTTGCTTTTGCCTATCTTCATTTATACTAAATAAATCTCAAAGTAAAACACTTTCTGTGTATTTAACCCACCTGAGAAGTGTACGGATTGTGACTCTGCTCTTTGGTTGTGACGATCTTTGTTCTGTTTAACATATATTGAGAAACGAAGACTCGTATGTATCGATTTCTGTCTGCTCGTGGATTTCATTTCTGTTAACGGACTCTTGAGACGATATTCATTTACTTTCTCTGTGCTTTAACAAACTCCATTTCTATATCAATGTGTTTAAATCTCAATAAACTGATCACAAAAACAAATTGATGATATCTTCAGTATAATGACACAGCTTTATTCTGTAGCCCTTCCTGTTTACACCCAGGTTAAGATGGTAAGGTATGAGGAAGTTGTGCAACACGACATGGAGTCGCCATGAATAAAAGAAACTGTTCAGACTTCAAGATCGGGACTCACACCTTGGTACATGTGGTCTGCATTGATATCAGCATAAAGACATCTAAGTAGATTTTTATTGTTTGGACATCATGTAAATGTGAGTATAATCAGTTGTACAGTGGTTGAAGCTGTGCCAGCAGGGCGATAATCTAAGTATGTCTTGGGATTCTCAGAGCAGTTTTCATTTAAAGGAGTCATATTATGCCCTTTTCAGGTTCATAATTGTATTTTGTGGCTCTACTACAACAGGTTAGATGTTTTAACGTTCAAAAAACACATTATTTTTTTCATACTGCCTCTTCAGGGGCTCTTTTCAGCCTGCGTCTGAAACGCTCGGTTTTAGCTCCTGTCTCTTTAAGGCCCCCCTCCCGAAAAGCCCAGTCTGCTCTGATTGGTCGGCATTATGACGCGGTTGGTAGGGATGGGCGATATCACACTTTTAGGATTTGACACAATGCCGAGTCTTTTTCTTGCAATTTCATCGATACAGATACTGATAATTTCTTATTGGCAATTTTTTTCAATCAAAATATTATTACACTTAAGGCAAATCACATGACAAATACTGGCCATGTATCACAAATGTGTTATATGCAATACATAATAAAACAAAAAGTAAAATAAATAGCATAATTATGAATGAAATAAATTAAATATGAACAAAAACAAGCACATTTGCACTTTCCTCACTTATTTTAAAAAAAACCCTGTATGTTGAAGTAAACATGTAACACTGTACCCTTTCAGTGAAGTAACAAAGAGCAGAAACAAGAGAGGTGTTTAACATTAACTTTGTAAAGCACATAACAGATAACAGAACAGTAATAACAGAGTTAGTAGAAATTTGTTACATGTATTTATTTATTTAAGTTAATTTAAGTATTTTGGGGCTTTTTATTGCTTTTATGATATTGACAGCTGAAGACCGGGCCGGCTGAGTCGCACGTTTGACGTTCAAATAGTTTCCTTGTCACGTGACGCGGGCCAGCTCAATATGCCGCCAGGTACAGGGGCGACTCGGCACATAGTAATTGAAGTAAGCTATCCAAAACAGTTGAAAGTGATGCATGTACCCCCAATTATGATTTGTTAGTTGATATCGACATTTGTTTAAGGAAATCGATGCCAAATGAGTCGCGTGTGAGTATTGATATTTATCGATTGTTCACGAGTTTCTGAAAATAAATTGAAGTTTTTAAGTAGTAATTAAGTTGAAAGATATTTATTGAAAATCTTGCAACAGATACTCAAACAATAGTTTTAAATGAATAAAAGTGATTTTTCAGCACAAATGAACAAGAACTGAAATATAAAGTTTGCTTATTTATACAATGTAAATTCTACAGGCTGCAGCTTTAAATAAATGAATTAATATTACTGTACTTGTACTTTATTTACTGAGAGATGTGATCAATATGTCTAGCTATCAACATTTTAAATTTAATATTTAATTAATAGTCAATGTCAGTCCACTGCTTTATATCTCACAGTACAGAGCTGTAACTGAACCTTGACTTTAGAAACTAGATGATCATTTTATTTTAAAATGATGTGTCTGTGAGGAGAGCCATCAGGCCCCGATATCACCTGGACTGGGCCCAGAGACGTTACTAAATAATAAATAGTTGTAGCCTTGGATGACGCAGACATACTGAAGCCTATAACCTGTTGGGTACACATTTCTTGATTCTCACAGATGCACACCTACTCGTGGATTGTAACTATTGGATTATCGCATACCGATCCCAGGCCACACCCATTCAAGTTACATACATAAGTATCGCCCTGTACACGCAGGTAAAAAGGAATTCTGCTGCCGACTGACAGAAGAACAGATGACAAAAAGACTTAAGATAGATACTTTATTAATCCAGAGGGAAATTCAAGAATAAAGTAAAGAGACTTTACTTTATTCACAAACTTTTTCAACTTTATTCCAACTGAACATTCAGGAAAGGTAAGTCTTTGCCTTTGCCTATCTTCATTTATACTAAATAAATCTCAAAGTAAAACACTTTCTGTGTATTTAACCCACCTGAGAAGTGTACGGATTGTGACTCTGCTCTTTGGTTGTAAAGATCTTTGATCTGTTTAACAGATATTGAGAAACGAAGACTCCTCAGCTCATAAAAAGTCTAAAATCCTTCCTGTAGTTCTGCTCAGAATGTGTATGTTTAGTTTTCTGTCTACTCGTGGATTTCATTTCTGTTAACAGACTCTTGAGACTACTGCGCCGAGTGCGAGGGCCCGTTCATTGCTGCTTGCAGCTTTAATTTTTTTGGTCTTTTATTGCCTTTAATTGATAGTGACAATTGGAGATAGACAGGAAAGGGCTGATTTTATGATCAGCTTTATCTGATCTTATTGAACCACATTTCACAAGTTTCTTAAAATAAATGCACAAATTGAAGATATTTATTGAAAATCCTGCAACAGATGCTCAAGCAGCAGTTTTAAATGAATAAAAGTGACGTTTCAACACAAATAAACAAGAACTGACATTTAAAGTTTTTTATTTATTTTGTATTTACACAATGTAAATTTAAGTCTACAGGCTGCAGCTTTAAATAAATAAATAAATATTACTATAATTGTACTTTATTTACTGAGAGATGTGATCAATATGTCCAGCTATCAACATTTTAAATTCAATATTTAATTAATGGTCAATGTCAGTCCACTGCTTTATATCTCACAGTACAGAGCTGTAACTGAACCTTGACTTTAGAAACTAGATGATCATCTTATTTTAAAATGATGTGTGTCTATGAGGAGAGCCATCAGGCCCCGATATCACCTGGACTGGGCCCAGAGACCTTACTAAATAATAAATAGTTGTAACCTTGGATGACGCAGACATACTGAAGCCTAAAACATGTTGGGTACACATTTCTTGATTTTCTCACAGATGCACACCTACTCGTGGATTGTAACTATTGGATTATTGCCTACCGAGATCAAAGGCCACACCCATTCATGTTACATAAATAAGTATCGCCCTGTACACGCAGGTAAAAGGAATTCTGCTGTCGACTGACAGAAGAACAAACGATAAAAAACTTTAGATAGATACTTTATTAATCCCGAGGGAAATTCAAGAATAAAGTAAAGAGACTTTACTTTATTCACAAACTTTATTCAACTTTATTCCAACTGAACATTCAGGAAGAGGTACATCTTTGCTTTTGCCTATCTTCATTTATACTAAATAAATCTCAAAGTAAAACACTTTCTGTGTATTTAACCCACCTGAGAGTGTATGGATTGTGACTCTGCTCTTAACATATATAAATACTTTCTCTGTGCTTTAACAAACTCCATCTCTATATCAATGGGTTTGAATCTCAATAAACTGATCAACATGTTCATAATATCTTCAGTATAATGACACAGCTTTATTCTGTTGCCCTTCCTGTTTACACCAAGGTTAAGGCAGTAAGGTATGAGGAAGTGGTGCAAAAAAATCCAGACATGGAGTCGCTATGAATAAAAGAAAACAGTTCAGTCTTCAAAATCGGGACTCCTAAAAACTCTGATATTTGACCTGGATTTTACAGGGCACTGAATAATACTCACAATATGATCATCATCATGTTTTCCTATAATTTGTATGTTTGGTCTCACACCTCAGTACATGTGGTCTGCACTGATATCAGCATAAAGACATCAGAGTAGATTTTTATTGTTTGGACATCAATGTGAGTATAATCAGTTGTACAGCGGTTGAAGCTGTACCAGCAGTTCAATAATCTAGGTATGTCTTGGGATTGTAAATTTCCTAAATTTAAGTTTTTAAAAAGTTGCATGTTAACAGCTTTTTATGCATTTTTTTGCAATGAAATCTAAAAAAAGAGAATTATAAAAATAGACATGATTTTTTTTTAGACATGAGTGTACTCAGGTGTCATGGAGATGTTTTTAGTTGCACCAAATAATTCAAAATGTCCTCTGACTGACTTCTTTCAGACTTAATCAGTTTTCTGTTCTCTGTATGGAGAATCAGGGATCAGAGACCTCCACCATGGCCACTGCTGACCAGCTGCTGGACCAGATGTTCTCCTTGATCGAACAGAAGGAGCTCTGTGTAGAGAATCTGACGACTCTGGCCCACAAGTTGGAGTCATCGAGGAGTTTGTTAGATAGTTTTAACAGCAACACCATGAAAGAGATGCAGGACACAAAAGAGGAGAGCAACAGAATAAGAGAAGAAATCCAGAAACTGTTTGAGCAACTGAAGACGGAGAGTTCCTCCACAGACCCGGATAAAGTGGACCGACACATTATGGCTGAGGTTCTGAAAGCCATGGCCAGACGAAGTAAAGTGGAGGGGCAGATCACCATCCACATGCATAACGATCGATCGCTGGTGATCAACAGTGTCCACCTGAAGCCCGAACTGTTAGATGGACTTAAACAACTGATTGAACAAATGTCTAAAACTGGACTCCTGAAAGGAGAATACAAAGTAAGATTCAGTAACTATACACACACTTTGTCTGAAAATTACACAGAACATTATATAGAATTATTAATATTTTTTATTACTGGTTTGTTGTTTTTGTGATTTTGATAATTGTTTTCCTTTGAGGCTGATATTACTGAAAATGAATCATGTATTGATCATATTCATCATCAGTTTGTAGGAGGAGCTATTGGACTGGTATCTAAATTTCATGAGATCGACAACTGGACAGACCTGATCGAAAATAATCGTGTGACTAAAGCCAGCCAATTATTGAGAGATACAGCTGACACCACTCTCGAGTCCTGCCAGACACTGAGAGAACAGTTTGACAACATCAGGTATGAAGTTTTCTGTGATTTATGTAATGGGCGTGCATTGTCTTTAACAGTTCATATCAGATTGGATGCACGTCCATTAACCCTTGTATATTCTGCGTTGTGTTCTATGTTGTGCTGAATGAAGAAAGGACCCGGACCACGACCAGCTGCTGGTTGCTCTTTTAATGAAGGCAGGATGGTAGATTTGTCTGTACAAATTAAGAGAAAAACACATAAGGCTCTGTACCATGCAGTCTCCTCCACACAGCACACAGGTCTCAAGCTCCTGTTAACAGATAAACATACAGAAACCCCTGTAGACTAGCATGTGGAAACATGTCTACTTTAAAGCTTGCAAAAAGTCTGTTTACAGAGTTTATATTCCATTGACACATTAACTGCATGTTCACAACCTAGAAACTATCATTTATACATGCATAAAACAAAGTTTGCATTGTCCAAAAACCGAAATAAATGTTCAGAAATGACGAGCAAAATAATACATTACCTCCTCTCAGCTAGTCTGGCGCGGACTGAGAGAAGCACCTGAATGACGGCAAAAGGCCTGCGACCTCTTAAAGTGACAGTACAGGTATTAACACCTTGGTCTGAATACAACATTTAAGCATGAATATAGGCAATAAAACACATTTTAAACATATAGAAAACAATATTTATCAGGATTTGGTGACATTTCAACCGTAAAAGTAAAGATATAATTTCAACCCGGTTACATTTACATGAAACAAACATTAGAAACAGAGCACAGCAGGTTCATTTAAATATTACAGATTTAAAAAGGTTTTGAACGTTGGTAGTGGAAACTGCTTAACTGCCCCACTAAGAACACCACAACAACCACAGAGCAACACACTAGTGAAAACTTAAACAACCTCTACAGATTTAGTCTATCAGCCGATACCGAGTACCAACACAGGAAGTTTCTTACCACTGCACTGCTAGTGTAGGAACGGCGGACCCAGAAGGGCCCGAATAGGAGGAAGAGGAGCCAGTTTGTATCCAGTTAATTAGTGAGTAACTGTTAATGTTATCAATCACCCATCGTATCGATCAGTCAGGATCAGTTTCAGTTAAGTTGGAAGTTATTTATTCCGAGTGTTGAACAACCAGACTGTGTGATGTTACACTGTGTTGGAATAAATGAACTAAAGGTTCAGTCTCCTTGCTGCTGGTTCTGATTCACAATCATTACTGCTGTTTCTGTTAGAGTTTAACAAGCCGCTGTTCACATATAGATATATATGTGCCTATATATTATAATCAATACAGTAATATCAGAAATATGACAACTAGTTGACTATTGGCTTTATCAAATGATAGCTAGTCTAGCTCTGGCTAACCTTACACTAACAATCAGTGCGCATGACCTGATCCACTCCAACTCTGACTGTCGGTTGGGGTAAGAGTCAGAGGTCAGTTGTAATAGAAATTAATTAATTAAATTAATAAAGTAAAATTAGTTTTTCGGCCACCATTGATCTTTGGGTATTGATGCTGTATTCTCACTTGTATTATTCACAGGAAGATAATTGAAGAGGTGGATAAAAGTCAACGAGAACACGAGGAAAACAAGAGTTCAAATCCAGCTCGGGACCAGAGTGGAAACCAGCAGACTTCTGTTGAAGCTCAAACAGATCAAAGACACGAGGATGAACAAGAAGGTGGAACAGGAAGTGATCAGCAGGGAGGGGGTGATCAGGGAGATAAGGAGACAGATAGGGACGATAAAGACTGGGACTATGAGCGGAGTGAGGACCAATACAATATCATCATCTACATTATATCTAAACTACATTTTCAGAACATGCAAAGACCTCCTGGAGCGATAAAAGTGGCACTGCTTAATGTTCGCTCAATGAATAAAAAAAGAAGACCAGAAAAGATCTTAAAGCTCATAACAAAAAACAACCTGGACGTCTTACTCACAACAGAGACGTGGTTACAAGAAGACAATGCAGACAGAGTCCTGTCAAAGTCTGCGCCACCGGATTACCATCACTATTATCAGGTGAGAGAAGGTCAAAGGGGGAGGAGGGGTAGCGATTCAGTTCTCACCGCAGCTGAAGAGTAAACAAAATAAGTTTGACTCCATAACAACCTTTGAATATGTTGTCACAGTTCTGGAACATGATGAGTGGAACCAGCCGGTCCCATTCATCAACGTGTATCACCCACCGGGGTACAACAGGGACAAATTTAAAGCCTTCCTGGATGAGTTTCAAGATCTCTTGGCACATTTCAACAACTACAACAGCATCGTTGTGACCGGAGATTTCAATATCTGGGTCAATCAGACAAAGAAGTCCTTCACTGATGAGTTTTATCCTATTTTGCAGAACAACAAACTCGAGCAGCACGTACGGGAGCCGACACACAATAAAGATAACACTCTGGATCTGGTCCTCACCAGAAAGGTTGAAATCTCTGATCTCGTTGTCTGGAACGACAGAATATCAGATCATTACACTGTATATTTCATTGCAAGGCCAGAGGGAGGAAAGAAAGAAAAGGGTCAAAGATGAACAGGCAAAACAATTTAAAAAGGGGGAAGAATAGAGAATCAGGTTTAGAAAGATATAGAATACTTCTGTCATTGACTGCAGTTTGTTTAAAAAGGTTAAATTCAACTTGTCTCCATCATGAAGAAGCACAACGCTGGTGAGAGAGTCACAGTCTGCTTTCCTCATCACCTGTTCAACTCCCAACTGCCATCTCAATTATTTTCCACTAACCTGCCCCTGCTCCACGCCTCCACATCAGCCAATCTGCTCACCTGTGTACGCAAGCTGCTCCTGACCACCAATCAAACGGGTTCATAAACTGCTCCTCACCAGTCACACGTTGCCAGGTTCCAGCATTGTTCGGATGGATCTCCCGGTTTCGACCCCGCCTGTTTCTGACCATCCCTCCCACGCTTGGTTTCTCCATTCCTGGTTTCCGTCTGCCTCTCTCCCGGGCTGTCTGGTGTTTCCCCACGACGACTACACAGCGTGAGTTCGACCATCTCCTCTCCTGTGAGTCTCTGTGGTTCAGAGACTCTGAGTGTATTGCCACACATACCATTGTGTGTGCACACTCACCTGCCGGCTCTTCAATTCCTGCAAAAGACTCTAAACACTCTTCCTGCTCTGTTTGTTGATGAAGGTCATTATCAACTGACTGCCTGTGAACGGGTACTGCATTTGGGTGTGCTGCCTCTGAGCCACAGCCACCTGCTACATTAACGGATAATGGAGTCCAAGCTCTGTCTGCATCAACTATCAGTACTTTTTGTTGTAACTGTTTCTGTGGAGAAGTTACGATTATGAAGAGATTGTCTTTATGGTGAAATTATGTGTATTTGTCAGGAGGCTATAAATATATTTAGTTTAATGTGTGTCAGTTTTAGTTGAGTGAGCCTGGAAACATCCTGAATGAAAGTTATGTTTGCTGTTTAATTTCTGAAAATGAATTTGGATGCTGTTCACAGAACATTCCTAGTATTCAGTAATTGTGATCATTTCTTTATTCAGTGGAAACTATCAGACTCTCTGTCACGTGCACAGACTTCACCAGTGTGTTTGTTAAACTGACAACCCTCTGAAGCTTCATTCAGACATGAGTGTTTGAGAATATGTGACAATAGTGTGTAATGATATTAAAAGAACTGTACTGAACATGGTAATGGTAATATAATCCACAGAGTTATACAGTAATTAATAGAATCACAAATTCAATCAGCTGCTCCACTCCTTTATCACAGCTCTTTAGGCAAACTAACAATAATAATATAAAGTCATTTAATGTGTTATGTACTGAATTATATATATGTGCCAAGTGTATTATAGATGAGGGGGAGATTTAGGAGGTGTTTAGGAGATTTGTTGTATTGAATAGTTGGGATCTATTTTACTTTTTAATATGTGTAGTGAGTTATTTCTACTGTTGACCTATAAAACTTAACTATTGGGTATTTAGATAAATGAATGCTAAAGGTTAATTGTTTTATTAATTGTTGCTTCCTGTGGTGGGAGGAGCTACCGCACATATAAGCAGGAGTTGAGGGTTCTCCAGGGGAGAATACGTTTGAGGATGTTGGTGAGCAGGAGACAGTTTGTTAGCTGCCAGGGGCCCCAAGCTTAAAAGGGCCCGGAGCAGAGTTGAGGTTATTTTTGATACCTCTAGTTACCTTTTTCCTAAGTTGTGTCTACTTGTTTTTCATTTTTATTTTGTTGTTTCCTTCGGTTTGGGCCGAGCTGATCCTCACTGTAAACTAGCTGCACTGATCCACTGCTTGGGGGAAAAAGGGAAATAAAGAAATTTGGACTAACCGAATAGTTTCAAGGTCCCTTCCGTCCTGCCTTCGCTGCTCGAGCAATCTTTAGTCATGTACTGACTATATAAATATAATCATCACACAAACAGCACAGACAATAAAAATGAATAATAAAAAAATTAAAACCAGATTGTGGTGATGGATGTCTTCATGATGGTAATTAAGATGTTTAAGAAAAAAGGTCTTTAGACAGATTTTAAAGGCATCAATGGAGGAGGAAGATAACATTGCAAACTATGGAACGGCCCTCACAGTCTTAGATCTTACAGATCTTACTGTATTCACTTTTAACTAATCAAAAATGATTCTCCTTTCACACGTACAGCTCGCTCCAGTGGACAAATGGAGCAAAATCCAGGCGAATATCTGCTTTTGTCTTAACCCTTTTTCGGGGCTAAACATGCCAGAAAACTCATAAACCTTTGCAAAAATTCAGTCGTGGCGAAGGCTAAGGTATTGCCTTGGTCCTGTAGATGGCCGTTGTAAAATGGCTTAGCCACGCCATGCATGTACATTGGAGGCGTGTCCGTGGTGTGGTGTTGAAGTCGGCCATTTATAATTTTTTTGGTAATTTTTGGCAATATTTCATGTTTTATTTGAACAAACTCCTCCGAGATAGTATATCGGATCAATTTCAAAATTGGTCAGTACAGTCAAAACAAACTGTAGATGAAAAATTGTGCTATTTGTGACTGTACGTCGAAAAGTGTGCCTGCAGAACATATAGTACTCAACTTCAGTGTGCAACGTCCAATCTCCAATAAATGTCATATATTCTATAACAGTCTCGCCCTGAACACATCCTCATAACGTCCAATCTCAATGAAACTTCACGTTTGATAGGAGTCCCGCCCTGAACATGTCTATTAAATACAGATACAACATTCAGATATAGTGATAGCGCCACCTACTGGCAACAGGAAGAAAGCGCCGCATGGCGATTTTGATCTGATTCACGTGAAATGTTCATGATGTGGTTCGCACGTGTTACGATGGCACGTGATGCGCCTGCAGCACACTGGGCTGATTTAAGATCAGCATTATGTTGTTACGGCCGCCGCTTGCTGCCGTTTAGTGTGTATTACAGTCCCTCCAGAAAAACACGATTATGCGATCCCATAATTCAATGCACAATCAGCCAAAGTCCGCATATTTGCATTTTTTTAAATACGCCGCACTTTCGCCGCATAAATTGCCAATTTCCGCACAAAATGTGCGGGGCTTGCATGATTTCATAATCCCCGCATTTTCGTTGCAAAAAAGTCACATATATCTTAGCAGAGCAGAATGTTGCGTTTACTTCACACAAGAGCAGCCATTTCCCCCTGTTGCCATGGGAACATTATGAAGTGACGTAATTACGCGACGTGAACATCATTGAAAAGCTGCAAACCCCGCGATGGATGGACGATGAGGGAGAGGGGATGGAGGATGAGGATGGCGAATGATTGGCCAGTGTTAGAGGCTACGCAGTTATAGCTTTCATTTTCACAGTGGACTGTTGTAGTTTCATTCAGGAGTTGCAACTTTACAGTTGTGAGATTGCACTTTTTGTTACCAGTGGGTTAAATCATACTCGTTTCAAAAACCTTACAGTTATTTTAACAGAAGTTGTCTGTTTTGTATAGCTATCTCTGTAAAACAGGAAGCACACTTTTTATTTTTTTATATTTTATTTATTCATTTTTACAGAAGTTGTAGCATATTCCTTTTGTAAAGCTACAGAACTTGTTTGACTCATCAATGTTTTGTAAGTTTGAGCCATGTGTTTATTAAGGTCTGAAATAAAACAAGAGGAGAACTCAAATATTCCCAGCACTTTCTGTGATGTAGCTTATCATTGGAAGTAATAAGAAATGACTCTTTACATTAAGGTAGTAGCCTAGTGAGAACAGGACGTTGGGGGAATCACTTTTTTATCTCTTTTTCATCAATAGCAGTTTTTGCAAGTTCCCACAATTTCATCGCATAAAATTGCATAAATATCCTGCATATTCCATCGCATTGTTTAAGAAAAAATGCTGCATAATAAAGGATTTTCGCCTGCAACAATCACAAAAAAACTATGCAAACTATGCAAATCCAGCTGTGTGATCCCCTGTTGAGGATTGGTCTTTCTGGAGCTGAGACCGCCTACTTTCTGGTTGCTGTTCGCTGGCATCTGTGATTGGTGTGGCTGTGATTCGACCAAACCTACCAACCGGGAGTCTTCAATCAACTCCAGCTGCATTTTAAATAGTTTGTGTGCCCACAGTTCAGGGTGGCTGTGAACCAGTGATCACTTTGCCTCGCTGTTGGTTGTATACCATTATGTTAGCCTAGAAAGAATTAAGAGTGTTTACATTCTTTAGTATTGCCTGGCTGTTGCCTGTCTGAGTGGTTTCAGTCAGTGCTTTTGAAATCTTTGTAATTTGTTTAGTTTGATTCAGAGTAGCAAGAGTTGGACACTCTTTTGTTTGAGACCTCTAAGTTGCAGAATAACTGCTAGTTTGTTTTTGTCCATTGTATTTTGTGAGCTTATGTGTCTTAGCCTCTTTCTGTTATATTTCCTTGTGCAAGCGCACTCTCCTTGGTTAATTAAACAACTGATTTTAACCAGAACCTGTCCAGTTGTCGCATTCCACCTCATTTCCAATCCCAATTATGTGTTACTGCTCTCCAAAACGAGCCGGGTCATAACATATGTGATCTTTTTTGAGACCTCATTGTTTCACAAATTTCTGAAAATAAAAAATTTAAAAATATTTATTGAAAATCCTGCAACAGATGCTCAAGCAATAGTTTTAAATGAATAAAAGTGATGTTTCAAATAAACAAGAACTGACATAAAGTTTGCTTGTTAAATGTAAATGTAAATTTAAGAACAGGCTGCAGCTTTAAATAAATTAATTGGTAACACTTTATAATGAGTACACACTATTAAGCATTAGTTAAGCATGAATAAATACTGAATTCATCATTTATAACGCATGAATACACATTAGTACGTAGTTTATAAACACAGTTAAAAATGTTTTATTTATCATTGATAAGCACATTAGTTATGGATTAGTAAATACTGAATTCATCATTTATAAAGCATGATTTTGCTGTAAATAGTCATTACTATGTGGTTTATAATCACAGTTATAAATGTTTTACTCTTCATTGTACTGTACATTTCTGCATGCACTTGCACATCCACTATTCAGACATGTATTAATGATTAGTGACTGTGTTAGCAGATGTTCTATAAAACTCACAACAAATTCATTTTCTAATGATGGCCTATAAACAGTGATTAATGCAGGAATTCACAGTTACAAAGCACTTACTACTCGTTAATTAAGTATTTTGCACGAGCTTATCTAAAGTGAGCACTATCTATGGCTTATTAAGGATTTACAAATGAGATATAAAGGCTGACAATGCCTCGAGACTCACAAAATGTTCAGTTATCTTAACAGACGAAGAAGAGAAACAACACAAAGGGATATAGAACATATTGTATTGATATTTATTGCAACTTCCCAACATATTGTATGAAGACGAACAAGGGTGGTTTATGAAGACATGCTATTGTTGTGATCTTATCTGTTTGGGACGTGTACGTTGAGCTCCCGCTGAGCATCCCAGCGGGATGTTACGTCATATTTACGTTAACTCTCAGAAGTTTCTGACAGTGCAGCCAAGGGGAGCATGGAGGGAGCACATTGGAGTCGGCGGCCGTCAGCAGCACTAGTGGAGAGTATGTGTCTTTGTTTGGTAGCACACATTATGGTTGAAAGATAACGTTAGCTTGTCAGCAGCTGCAGGTGTTTGCCCTCGCTCCCCGACTAACGTTACTAACGTTACTGACGTTACTAATGTTAGTAACGTTACCGACCCGCCCGCGGTGGCTAAGCCGACCTAGCCTAGTCTCGTCTAGCCGGGCGAGGTGAGGGCCTAGCAGCGGCAGGTCGGCTTAGCCACCGCGGGCGGGTCGGTAACGTTAGTCATTAGTGTCAAGTGACAAGCTAACGTTATCTTTCAACCATAATGTGTGCTACCAAACAAAGACACATACTCTCCACTAGTGCCGCTGACGGCCGCCGACTCCAATGTGCTTCTCCATGCTCCTCTTGGCTGCACTGTCAGAAACTTCTGAGAGTTAACGTAAATATGACGTAACATCCCGCTCTCAGCACGTCATCACGTTGATGACGTGCTCTCTCCTTCGTCTGTTAAGATAACTGAACAATTTGTGAGTCTCGAGGCATTGTCAGCCTTTATATCTCATTTGTAAATGCTTAATAAGCCATAGATAGTGCTCACTTTAGATAAGCTCGCGTAAAATACTTAATTAATGAGTAGTAAATTCTTTGTAACTGTGAATTCCTGCATTAATCACTGTTTATAGGCCATCATTAGAAAAATGAATTTGTTGTGGGTTTTATAGAACATCTGCTAACACAGTCACTAATCATTAATACATGTCTGAATAGTGGATGTGCAAGTGCATGCAGAAATGTACAGTACAATGAAGAGTAAAACATTTATAACTGTGATTATAAACCACATAGTAATGACTATTTACAGCAGAATCATGCTTTATAAATGATGAATTCAGTATTTACTAATCCATAACTAATGTGCTTATCAATGATGAATAAAACATTTTTAACTGTGTTCATAAACTACATACTAATGTTTATTCATGCGTTATAAATTATGAATTCAGTATTTATTCATGCTTAACTAATGCTTAATAGTGTGTACTCATTATAAAGTGTTACCAATTAATTAATATTACTGTACTTGTACTTTATTTACTGAGAGATGTGATCAATATGTCTAGCTATCAACATTTTAAATTTAATATTTAATTAATAGTCAATGTCAGTCCACTGCTTTATATCTCACAGTACAGAGCTGTAACTGAACCTTGACTTTAGAAACTAGATGATCATCTTATTTTAAAATGATGTGTGTCTATGAGGAGAGCCATCAGGCCCCGATATCACCTGGACTGGGCCCAGAGACGTTACTAAATAATAAATAGTTGTAGCCTTGGATGACGCAGACATACTGAAGCCTAAAACCGGTTGGATACACATTTCTTGATTCTCACAGATGCACACCTACTCGTGGATTGTAACTATTGGATTATTGCCTAGCGAGATCAAAGGCCACACCCATTCATAAATAAGTATCGCCCTGTACACGCAGGTAAAAGGAATTCTGCTGTCGAGTGACAGAAGAACAAACTACGAAAAAACTTTAGATAGTTACTTTATTAATCCCGAGGGAAATTCAAGAATAAAGTAAAGAGACTTTACTTTATTCACAAACTTTATTCAACTTTATTCCAACTGAACATTCAGGAAGAGGTACATCTTTGCCTTTGCCTATCTTCATTTATACTAAATAAATCTCAAAGTAAAACACTTTCTGTGTATTTAACCCACCTGAGAAGTGTACGGATTGTGACTCTGCTCTTTTTGTTGTGAAGATCTTTGATCTGTTTAACAGATATTGAGAAACGAAGACTCCTATGTATCGTTTTCTGTCTGCTCGTGGATTTCATTTCTGTTAACGGACTCTTGAGACGATATTCATTTACTTTCTCTGTGCTTTAACAAACTCCATTTCTATATCAATGTGTTTAAATCTCAATAAACTGATCACAAAAACAAATTGATAATATCTTCAGTATAATGATGTAGCAAGCCGTGCTACAGACGGGGTTCCCCCAGCACACAAAACTCCCGGACCAGACTGTCGGTTCACGCAACTCTTTATTTGAGGCACAAAACGCAGCTGTACCGCTGCGGCAGCTTCCGCCCAGAGGCCTGTCTTTCGGCGTGTGTCTCCCCCGGATCCAGCACACTACTGCCAAGATAAAAGGTAGAGTCATCAGACAATCATTGGCAGGTGAGGTAATCAACTCACCTGGTGCCACTCTCCCAGGCCTTCCCCACACCTCTCCCTCCTGCAGCTGAGCGCAAACCACGCCCACCTCCACATACCCCCACCGCCCGATTTAGGCCGGGGCGTCATCCGGCCTAACCTACTCCCCCCCTCCCCATAGGAGCGGGAGAGAAAGTCGGCCACGGCCATCTGCGCCCCCGGTCTATGGACCACCCTGAATTTAAATGGCTGTAGGGCCAGATACCACCGAGTGATCCGGGCGTTGGCATCTTTCATGCGGTGGAGCCACTGGAGGGGGGCATGGTCCGAACAGAGGGTGAACGAGCGCCCCAGCAGGTAATAACGCAGAGCCTCGACCGCCCACCGGATCGCCAAGCACTCCTTCTCGATCGTGCTATACCGAGACTCCCTCTCCGACAGCTTCCGGCTGATGTATAACACCGGGCGGTCGACACCCTGCACCTGCTGGGACAGAACGGCCCCCAGCCCTCTGTTCGAAGCGTCAGTCTGCAGGATAAAGGGGAGAGAGAAGTTAGGTGTGTGAAGAAGAGGCTTCCCACAGAGGGTTTGTTTTACCTTCTCAAACGCCAGCTGACACTGCTCCGTCCACTGGACCGGATCTGAGGCACCCTTTCGAGTGAGGTCGGTCAGGGGGCTGGTCAAGTCTGCAAAGTGCGGAATGAACCGCCGGTAATAACCTGCCAGCCCCAGGAACCGCCTCACCTCCTTTTTGGTCTTGGGCCGTGGGCTGGCTGCAATTGCTGCTGTCTTGTCTACCTGAGGACGCACGTGCCCACTGCCCAAGTGGTACCCCAAATACCGTACCTCCCTCCGTCCAACTGCACACTTCTTCGGGTTGGCAGTGAGCCCCGCCTGCCTCAGTGACTCGAGCACCGCCGCCACACTCTGCACATGCTCCCGCCAGCTGTTACTATGGATGATAACGTCATCCAAGTAGGCGGCCGCATACGCAGAGTGCGGACGCAGGACCCGGTCCATGAGACGCTGGAAAGTGGCTGGGGCCCCAAACAACCCGAAAGGAAGTGTGACAAATTGGTACAATCCATACGGAGTGGAGAAGGCCGTTTTTTTCCTTAGACTCTGGATACAAGGGAATCTGCCAATAGCCCTTGGTTAAATCCAGTGTCGTGAAAAAGCGAGCAGTGCCTAACCGATCCAGGAGCTCGTCGACCCGAGGCATCGGATAAGCATCAAACCGTGACACATCATTCACCTTGCGATAGTCCACACAGAACCGAATAGACCCATCCTTCTTAAGTACCAGAACAATGGGGCTACACCAGGCACTGTTGGACTCTTCTATTACCCCCATCTCCAGCATGGCCTTCAATTCCTTCTGAACCACCTTTCTTTTGTGTTCAGGTAACCGATAGGGCCGTGAACGCACTGTCACGCCCGGGTGAGTCTCAACATGATGCTGTATGAGATTTGTGCGTCCTGGCAGGGGGGAGAAGACGTCAGCAAAACGCTGTTGCAACGCGGCAACGTCTGCTCTCTGGGACGGTGTGAGATGGTCACCACAATGGAGTGAGGCAGGATTGGTGGAATTTGGGACCTCAGGCCCCAACTCATCTCTCTCTTTCACCGTGGTCACCAGAGAAACAGGCTCCGCCTCTCTCCACGCTTTAAGGAGATTGAGATGGTAAATCTGTGCTGCACCTCCCCTGTCAGAACGCCCAACCTCATAATCGACATCACCCACTCGCCGTGTGACCACAAAGGGCCCTTGCCACTTGGCGAGTAATTTGGAGCTGGAAGAAGGGAGTAATACAAGTACTTTGTCTCCCGGTGCAAATTGTCTGAGTCTAGTTCCTCTGTTGTACAGGCGCTGTTGACGCTCCTGGGCCCTGAGCAAATTCTCCCGTGACAACCGGCCCAATGTGTGGAGTTTTGCTCTCAGGTCCAGGACGTACTGAACCTCATTTTTACTTGGGCTTGGACCTTCCTCCCAGCTTTCTTTAACAAGGTCCAGAACCCCCCGTGGTGTCCTGCCAAACAGCAGTTCAAAGGGAGAAAATCCCGTTGAGGCCTGGGGCACCTCGCGCACTGCAAACAACAGAGGATCTAGCCACCTATCCCAATTACGGCCGTCATCGTGCACAAACTTACGGATCATGGACTTCAGGGTTTTGTTCAGACGCTCGACAAGGCCGTCGGTCTGAGGGTGGTACACACTAGTCCGAATTGACCTGATGCCCAATAACCCATAAAGTTCCCGGAGTGTACGTGACATAAACGAGGTGCCCTGGTCCGTTAGGATTTCTTTTGGGATCCCAACTCGGGAGATGACCTGGAACAGTGCCTGTGCCACACTCTTTGCAGAGATTGTGCGCAGAGGCACTGCTTCCGGATATCGAGTTGCATAATCCACTAGGACTAATACAAAGCGATATCCTCGTGCGCTCCGGTGAAATGGCCCGATGAGGTCCATGCCAATACGCTCAAATGGAACCTCCATGAGTGGTAATGGGCGCAAAGGCGCTCTCGGGATGGCGGTTGGTTAACCAACTGACATTCCGGGCAAGATGCACACCAGCGGCGTACATCTGCCCTAATGCCAGGCCAATAGAATCGGGCCATTATCCGGTTAAGTGTCTTCTCATACCCCATATGCCCCGCCATTGGGTTATAATGAGCCGCCTGGAAAACTGTTTCCCGGCGGCTTTCCCGGCACCAACAACTGGGTGATTTCCTCTGCTGACTGAGTGTCACGACTCACTCTGTATAACCTGTCCCTAACCAATGCAAAATGCGGATATGTCTGCGCTGCGTCAGGGTGCACCAACTGACCATCAATTTTGATCACTTGGTCAAAGGCAAAGCGTAGAGTATTGTCGCGAGACTGCTCGAGTGGAAAATCTTCCGTGGAGCGCAACATGGGGACCTGTGGAGCCTCTGGCGGAGGCACCACAGATCCCCCTCCCCCTCTGCAGCGTCGGACAACCTCGCGTCACCACTGAGCACAGCGCACATATCCCATGTCCCTACCGGCCGTGAACGCACCCCCCCGCACACTGCCCCACTAATCGATTAAACCCAGGCCAATCCGTGCCCAAAATCAGGGGGTGCGTCAGGCGGGAACTAACCGCAGCCTTAACAATATGCTTTTTACCCATATATCTAATTTCCACGGGTACAACCGGGTATCTGTGAATATCCCCATGTACACATCTAATGTCCACCCACGATGCCTCTACCAAAGCCCCGGGTCGAACCAGGTGCTGATGAATTATAGACTGCGTGCAGCCCGAATCCACCATTGCCTGATGTATACCCCCTTGGATCCTTACCGGGACGCTGTATGTCCCTCCTGGACCGGGGGAGGGTGTTGGTGGGCCAGCAACCCGGACCACCTGTCCGACCTCCATGAGAGGGCACTCCCTGCGGAAATGCCCGGGCTGCCCGCACCGCCAACACTCCTGCCCTGACGCCTGAGGAACCCTCTGTGGGCCGAGAGCGGCACCCGTAGCGGCTGGACCCTGGGAAGGAGAGAGAGAAGAGGTTTGGTTACTGAGTGGCAGAGGCAGAGGCCGGGCAACAGTTTCCAGTCGGGGGGTAAGCGGAGGTGGAGGTCTCCTGCGGGGCGCCGGCACGGGTCGGGCGGGTGCAGAGGGCCGCCTCTCCCGGAGCTCGGTCCCCACCGTGGACAGCCAGATGATCCTCGGCGAGGGTGATGGCGGCCTCCAAATCCGCCGGTCGGTGGCACCGCACCCACTCCGCGGTTCCGGTCGGGAGCCCCTCCACAAACTGCTCCAGCACCACCAGCTCCAGCATCAGCCTCTCACCGCTGGATCCTCCCGGCTGCAGCCACCTGGTGGCAGCGTCCTTCAGCTGCTGCGCAAAGACGAATGGACGGTCAGAGGATCCCAGTGTGGCGGACCGGAACCGGCGGCGGTGATCCTCGGGGGAAAAACCCATCCTGTCAAGGATGGCTCTTTTGACGTTCCGGAACTCCCCCCGAGCAGAAGCTGGCAGGCCGAGCGCCGCAGTCTGGGACTCTCCTGACAGCAGGGGAAGCAGGCGCACGGCCCACTCCGCCGCCGGCCAGCCACAGGCCTCCGCCGTCGCCTCAAACATTTCGAGGAAGGTTTGGGGGTCATCCGCCGCTGTCATCCGGTGCATGGTGATGCCGGAAAAGGAGGAGCATGGAGGGGATGGAGACTGTGCCCCCGACCGGGCCAGCAGTCCCCTCCAGCAGCTGGTTCTGCTTCCCCGCCTGGTTCTGGAGTGCCTCCAAATGCCGTCTATTTGTTGCCGTCTGCTGGCTGTGTATTGCCGTGATCTGCCCCAGCATCTCTCCCAGCAGTGTGATCAGCTGTGATGGCTGCTCCGTAGGCGGCTGCGGGACCGGCTGCGGAGGCGGCTGCTGTGGAGGCTGCTGCATGGGCGGTTGTGGATCGGACATTTCCGTGTGCTGCCCCACGTTGGGCGCCAGTGTAGCAAGCCGTGCAGACGGGGTTCCCAGCACACAAAACTCCCGGACCAGACTGTCGGTTCACGCAACTCTTTATTTGAGGCACAAAACGCAGCTGTACCGCTGCGGCAGCTTCCGCCCAGAGGCCTGTCTTTCGGCGTGTGTCTCCCCGGATCCAGCACACTACTGCCAAGATAAAAGGTAGAGTCATCAGACAATCATTGGCAGGTGAGGTAATCAACTCACCTGGTGCCACTCTCCCAGGCCTTCCCCACACCTCTCCCTCCTGCAGCTGAGCGCAAACCACGCCCACCTCCACAAATGACACAGCTTTATTCTGTAGCCCTTCCTGTTTACACCCAGGTTAAGATGGTAAGGTATGAGAAAGTTGTGCAACACGACATGGAGTCACCATGAATAAAAGAAACTGTTCAGACTTCAAGATCGGGACTCACACCTTGGTACATGTGGTCTGCATTGATATCAGCATAAAGACATCTAAGTAGATTTTATTGTTTGGACATCATGTAATGTAATGTGAGTATAATCAGTTGTACAGTGGTTGAAGCTGTGCCAGCAGGGCGATAATCTAAGTATGTCTTGGGATTCTCAGAGCAGTTTTCATTTAAAGGAGTCATATTATGTCCCTTTTCAGGTTCATAATTGTATTTTGTGGCTCTACTACAACAGGTTAGATGTTTTAATGTTCAAAAAACACATTATTTTTCTCATACTGCCTCTTCAGGGGCTCTTTTCAGCCTGCGTCTGAAACGCTCGGTTTTAGCTCCTGTCTCTTTAAGGCCCCCCTCCCGAAAAGCCCAGTCTGCTCTGATTGGTCCGCATTATGACGTGGATGGTAGGGATGGGCGATATCACACTTTTAGGATTTGACAGAATGCCAAGTCTTTTTCTCACAATTTCCTCGATACAGATACTGATAATTTCTTATTGGCAATTTTTTTTCAATCAAAATATTATTACACTTAAGGCAAATCACATGACAAACACTGGCCATGTATCACAAATGTGTTATGTGCAATACATAATAAAACAAAAAGTAAAATAAATAACATAATTATGAATGAAATAAATTAAATATGAACAAAAACAAGCACATTTGCACTTTCCTCACTTATTTTTAAAAAAACCCTGTATGTTGAAGTAAACATGTAACACTGTACCCTTTCACTGAAGTAACAAAGAGCAGAAACAAGAGAGGTGTTTAACATTAACTTTGTAAAGCACATAACAGATAACAGAACAGTAATAACAGAGTTAGTAGAAATTTGTTACATGTATTTATTTATTTAAGTTAATTTAAGTATTTTGGGGCTTTTTATTGCTTTTATGATATTGACAGCTGAAGACCGGGCCGGCTGAGTCGCACGTTTGACGTTCATATAGTTTCCTTGTCACGTGACGCGGGCCAGCTCAATATGCCGCCAGGTACGGGGGCGACTCGGCACATAGTAATTGAAGTAAGCTATCCAAAACAGTTGAAAGTGATGCATGTACCCCCAATTCTGATTTGTTAGTTGATATCGATATTTGTTTAAGGAAATCGATGCCAAATGAGTAGCGTGTGAGTATTGATATTTATCGATTGTTCACGAGTTTCTGAAAATAAATTGAAGTTATTAAGTAGAAAGATATTTATTGAAAATCCTGCAACAGATACTCAAACAATAGTTTTAAATGAATAAAAGTGATGTTTCAACACAAATGAACAAGAACTGAAATATAAAGTTTGCTTATTTATACAATGTAAATTCTACAGGCTGCAGCTTTAAATAAATTAATTAATATTACTGTACTTGTACTTTATTTATTGAGAGATGTGATCAATATGTCTAGCTATCAACATTTTAAATTCAGTATTTAATTAATAGTCAATGTCAGTTCACTGTTTTATATCTCACAGTACAGAGCTGTAACTGAACCTTGACTTTAGAAACTAGATGATCATCTTATTTTAAAATGATGTGTGTCTATGAGGAGAGCCATCAGGCCCCGATATCACCTGGACTGGGCCCAGAGACGTTACTAAATAATAAATAGTTGTAGCCTTGGATGACGCAGACATACTGAAGCCTAAAACCGGTTGGATACACATTTCTTGATTCTCACAGATGCACACCTACTCGTGGATTGTAACTATTGGATTATTGCCTACTGAGATCAAAGGCCACACCCGTTCATGTTACATAAATAAGTATCGCCCGGTACACGCAGGTCAAAAGGAATTCTGCTGTCGAGTGACAGAAGAACAAACAACGAAAAAAACTTTAGATAGATACTTAATTAATCCAGAGGGAAATTCAAGAATAAAGTAAAGAGACTTTACTTTATTCACAAACTTTATTCAACTTTATTCCAACTGAACATTCAGGAAGAGGTACATCTTTGCCTTTGCTTATCTTCATTTATACTAAATAAATCTCAAAGTAAAACACTTTCTGTGTATTTAACCCACCTGAGTTTGTGATGTTTGGATTGTGACTCTGATCTTTGGTTGTGAAGATCTTTGATCTGTTTAACAGATATTGAGAAACGAAGACTCCTATGTATCGTTTTCTGTCTGCTCGTGGATTTCATTTGTTAACAGACTCTTGAGACGATATTCATTTACTTTCTCTGTGCTTTAACAAACTCCATCTCTATATCAATGTGTTTAAATCTCAATAAACTGATCACAAAAACATATTGATGATATCTTCAGTATAATGACACAGCTTTATTCTGTAGCCCTTCCTGTTTACACCCAGGTTAAGATGGTAAGGTATGAGGAAGTTGTGCAACACGACATGGAGTCGCCATGACTACATACACATACAGAGAGGAGTATTTAAGGCATTAATAAGCTAGCGCTAGCTAGCTAGCTAACAAGAATGACATGGTATTAATATGCTAATGCTAGCCAGCTTGCTAGAGAGTTGGGCTGTGTCTCATTCTGCATACTTCCGTCAGTACACTGCTAATGTGCACTGACCACTTACTGCCGTAGTGCCACTTTCGATGGTTAGTGTTGTCCCAAAAGGAACACTGATGTTAGAACACTTACCTGAAATGGCGAGCGGGATGAGCGTGACGAACGCAACACACGTGAACGCGATTTTCCAGCCCGCCAAAAATATATGCCGGCTTTTGTTTAAAAAAATTCTTCTGCACGTTCATTTACCGCTCAGTTCACAACATGTGGAAACTACGTTGCCTCCGACGCCAACGCAGGTTAGGGTAGCGAGGTAGCTAGGTAGCATTAACATGTAACGTTACGCTGATTAACTCGCCAAATGATTCTGTCAGCTTCAGTCAGTGAGGACATGTAAGTAATGCATCAGACGACAGTAAAACGTTTCGTATTACTGCTGTTACATTTATACGATAGAGTTCACATTTGTAACGTGCTCGTGCTCAGATGTGATTGTAGTTTTTAAAGTTCAACATGGGTTATAGGTCGAAAGTTGAATGAACAAGTTCTGATGTCCTTTAGATTTCTTACAGGACGAGTTGTTGTTGCCCATAACGCGCTAGCATTCTGCTAATGAACGCTGATTGGTCAGTGAAGGACTGATTACGACCAGAGATCCCGCTTGATGGCATCGTGGCATCCGAAGCCCGACCACAATGTTAAGGCCGATTTTTTCGCCCAAGTTCTTTTTTTTTAACATAGCAACTTCTTTTTGTGTTGCTGGTACTTTTATCTGCCGATCGTTACGTCTGTGTCGTCGATGCCTCGAGAGAAAAGGAAGTGCAAAGCGCGGAAGCACAAAGAGACTCGAGGCTCGCCGTAAAGCGGTATCTCTGGCCGTACGATGTGTGTGACGTCACTGACATTTTAAAGACTTTTTAAAGAAAATAAGTGACTCTAAAAAATCTAACACCCAGCAATGTGTCATGTCTTTGCGTCCCCTTTCGAATGCAACATTCAAATTACTAGACCAAAAATGATATCCTGAGAAAAGTGGATTTTGAGGGTATAGCTCCATAGAGCTCCATTCATTCTGCTCTCATCCTGTGAGCGCCCTCATGTGGAACCAGAGGGGAACTGCAACAGTTCAGAACCCGGAAGTTTACTGAGAGTGGAACTTCTCATTATTAGACATTCTCTGGTATTAATATGCTAGCGCTAGGGAGGATGACGTAGTATCAATGTCCTAGCGCTGGCTAGCTAGCGTGCTAGAGAGGGAGACATGGTATTAATATACGGGCCAGAGACAGGCACACTCAAAATCTCTTTAGGAATTTTCTAGTTTTTTTCATACTGCCTCTTCAGGGGCTCTTTTCAGCCTGCGTCTGAAACGCTCGGTTTTAGCTCCTGTCTCTTTAAGGCCCCCCTCCCAAAAAGCCCAGTCTGCTCTGATTGGTCGGCATTATGACGCGGTTGGTAGGGATGGGCGATACCACACTTTTAGGATTTGATACAATGCCGAGTCTTTTTCTCGCAATTTCATCGATACAGATACTGATAATTTCTTATTGGCAATTTTTCACAATCACATGACAAATACTGGCCATGTATCCCAAATGTGTTATGTGCAATACATAATAAAACAAAAAGTAAAATAAATAGGATCGATACGCCCAACCCTAGCGAATGGTGCTCCGGCCCCTCCCACTTCCTCCTCAGCGTTGCCGGGGTTTTGCAGGATGGAGCTCTGCAGTCAGTGTTCATCTTGATGAGTCCTCCTTTGGATACCCAGACTGTCCT